TATGTGTATTACTTTATTGCTAATTGGTATATGTATTGTTGTATTGACATGCCAATTAATATGTTTTATGGCCATGCTAATTAGTTTATGTATGTGTTATTTCCATGCCAATAGGAGCGGTACTGGGAAGAATGAGCAACACCCGACATCACAGGGTTAGGGCGATAGCACTGTGAGCAACGACGCAACAGGACAGAGAAGCAGCACGGAGGTAGGTGTAAATATGTTTATATTATACATGTTAATTGGTTTATGTTTGTGTCTTATTCTTTGTGCTTTTGTACATTTTTGTGTGTTTTTTCCCAAGCTTAAAGGTGTATGTATGTGTATTATTTTATTGCTATATGATATATGTATCTTTGGTATTCATATTCCAACTAAAATGTGTTATTTTCATGCTTATAGGAGCCATACTGGGAAGAATGAGCGGCACCAGACATCACAGGGTTAGGTCGATGGCACTGTGAGCGGACGGCAACAGGACAGAGTTGCGGCATAGACATACATGTAAATATGTTTATTTTATACATGATAAATGGTTTATGTTTGTGTCTTATTCTTTGCTAATTAATGTTTGTGATTTTTTTCCCAAGCTTAAATGTGTATGTATGTGTATTATTTTATTGCTAATTGGTATATGTTTCTGTTGTATTCACATGCCAATATGTGTTATTGCCATGCTAATTGGTTTATGTATGTTTCTGTCCATGCAAAAAGGAGAGGCACCGGAATGAATGAGCTGGACCAGACTACACAGGGTGTGGACGATGGCACTGTCAGCAGACGATGGCACTTGGAGTCGACGATGGCATTGGATGAGCGGAGTGGTTATTTCTATGTTAAATCGGCATGTTTGTATGTTATATTCTGATGTTATTTCTGTTAAATTGGCATGTTTGTATGTTATTTCCATGTTAAATTGGCATGTTTGTATGTTATTTCTATGTTAAATTGGCATGTTTGTATGTTATTTCCATGTTGAATTTGCATGTTTTTATGTTATTTGTATGTTAAATTGGCATGTTTGTATGTTATTATTTCCATGGTAATTCGGCATATTTTTATGTTATTTCCATGTTTAATTGGCATGTTTGTATATTATTTCTATGTAAAATGGCATGTTTGTATGTTATTTTCATTTTAAATTGGCATGTTTGTATGTTATTTTCATTTTAAATTGGCATGTTTGTATGTTATTTTCATTTTAAATTGGCATGTTCGTATGTTATTTCCATGTTAAATTGGCATGTTTGTATGTTATTTCCACGTTTATTTGCCATGTTTTTATGTTATTTTCATGTTAATTTGGCATATTTTTATGTTATTTCCATGGTAATTTTGCATATTTTTATGTTATTATTTCCATGGTAAGTTGGCATATTTATGTTATTTCCATGATAATTGAGTATATTTGTATGTTACATTTTGTATATTTGTATGTTACGTTAATTTGGAATATTTTGTATTTTATTTCTTGTTAATTGGTGGCATATTTGTATGTTTTTCCATGATAATGATGCATATTTGTATGTTATTTTCAAGTTTATTTGGCATATCTGTGTCATTTCCATGTTAATTTGGCACATTTGTATGTTATTTTCATGCTAATTGGCATATGTTCATGTTATTTCCATCTTAGTTTATATGTTTGTATTATTTCGATTCTTATTGGTATTTGTTTGTATTATTTTTATGATTTTATTTTATGTATGTTATTTCCATGATATTGGTATGTGTGTATTATTTACATGCTTATTTGTGTGGGTTTTTTTTAATGTCAATTTGTAAAAATGTTATTTTCCTTCTATTTGATTTATGTGTTACTTAATGCTAAATGGTGACTGGAAACTAGCACCAGACGTTTGTGTCTGGGGACTAGCGCCCCAAAGCTGGTGACTTGGAACTTGATGCTTGTGTTATGTGTGTGATTTACATGCTATTTAATTTAACTGTTATTCTTTCCATGCTAGTTAGTATATGTATATGTTTTCTCCATGCTAATTAGTATATGTATATGTTATCTCCATGTTAATTTGTATATTTAAGTTAATTCCCTGCCAGTTAGTATATGTTTGTGTGTTATTTCCACTTCCAAATTAATATATGCATATGTGTTATTTCCATGCCGATAAGTAATTGTATGTGTATTATTGTCATGCTAATTTGTATGTTTTGTTACCCCCATTCTTAAAAGTATAAGGATTTTGTATGATATATAATTTACATTAATATGTGTATGTGTGTTATTTTTACATGCCAATTATTGTATATAATTTGTTTATTTACATGATATTAGTATATCAATGTGTATTCTTTCCATGCCAATTAGTACATGTATGTGTTTTTCCCATGTCAATTTGTTTATGTATTTATATTAATAGTATATGTATTTATGTTTCTTATACCAATTAGTATATGTATGTCCTTTTTTCTCATTCCAATGAGTACATGAATGTATGTTATTTCCATGTCAATTAGTAAATGAATGTGGGTTTTTTCCATGCCAATTAGTATATGTATTTCTGTTATTTAAATGTAAATTCGTATATGAATGTTTTATTCCCATGCCTATTAGTGTATGTATATATTTTATTTCCATGCTAATTAGTACTATATGTATGTGTTGTATTTCCATGCCAATTAGTATGTGTATGTTATTTCCGTGTCAATAAATATATGCATGTGTATTATATCCATGCCAATTATCATATTTATGTGTGTGTTTTTAAAGCCATATAGTATATGTATATTTTTATTTAATGCCAATTATTATGTGTTTGTTTTACATTTCTATGACAATATGTATATTTTTTGTGTTATTTCCATGCCAACTATTAAATTTATTTGTTTTATCTCCATGCCAATTTGTTCATAAATGTGTTATTTGTATTTGTGTTATTTTTATGCCAATGAGACTATATGTATGTTATTCACAAGCCACTTAGTATAATAAGTATTTTTGTTATTTCCGTGCCAATTAGTTTATGTCTGTGTGTTAATTTCATGCCAATTAAGTATGGCTGATATTTTCATGCCAATAGCATATGAATGTGTTTTATTTCCATGCCAATTAGTATGTTTTTATGTTATTTCCATGCCAATTAATTCATGTATTTGTATTATTTCCTTGTATATGAATGTGTGTTCATTCCTATGTCAATAGTGTATGTATGCATTTTATTCTCATGCCAATGTATATATGTATGTTTTTTATATTAACATGTGCATGTGTTATTCTCATGCTAATTAATATATGTATATATCTTATGTTCATGCCAATGAGTATATGACTGTTATTTTCATGCCAATTAGTATATTTTTCTGCTATTTCCATGCCAATTAGTACATGTATTGTGTTCTATTCCCATGCCAATTAGTATTTGAATGTGTTTTATTTCCATGCCAATTTTATTTCCATGCCAATTTTATTTCCACGCCAATTAGGATTAAAATATTTGTGTCTTTTCATTGTCGAAAGTCACCAGTTTCATTTAGGGGATGCACTTTTCACCAATATTTTAATTTGAATTTTCTGTTTAATAAACGTCATTTCCTAGTCCTTGTACAAATCTGAAATTTGTTTCATTTGTTCCACCATGTCCAGATGTTGTTGAATTAATAAGTGGCAGTAAATGAAATGAGAAAGTTGAATCAACTGTTGATGATGTAATGTTAAGATAATTTTAACATAGAGTTGTCTGCACTCTCCACGAGGCTGTTCAATAAACTGATATTTTATATTGCATTTGACAGATGTTGGCAATAAGTCTCATTTGTAATGTCAACATCTTTGCAGTCTTGTTAAAAAAAAAAATAATTTTGTATAGATGGTTAGATGGAGACACGGAAGATTAAATTTATATATAGGCCAGCCCCCAAGTGGCAGTAAATGAAATGAGAAAGTTGAATCAACTGTTGATGATGTAATGTTAAGATAATTTTAACATAGAGTTGTCTGCACTCTCCACGAGGCTGTTCAATAAACTGATATTTTATATTGCATTTCGACGGATGTTTGCAATAAGTTTAATTATTGACCCACACGACAAAATGAGTCGCTTCTCACCTGATGGCCATTTTGAGATTTTTATCTAGTCTTGTATATCTTTTAATTCTGAGTTCAACAGTGAAAACGCGTGAAAATCGGACAGTAACATTTTTAGTTATGAATATTTTATTGGAGCCACTATCCAAGCCCTGATTTTGAGAAAAATTGATTTTACTAAATATATTTTTCAGACTAAGAATTTCCTTAGCAACCGTTTATGGATTTTGTTTAAATTAGGCACACTAATTCAACCCTTTTTACTCAAGATATGTGAAATATTTGAAAGGAAAATGTTATATACTTTTTTTGTTATGCGTAAAAAAGAAAATATAAAAATGTAGGTTTTAGTTTAAAAAAATAGTATTAAGGTGTATTAGTAGGTACCACAAACTGATTTTTCAAAATCGTTTTACAGCTCTCTTTTTGGTGATTGAGTGAGATCTGATTCTAAGAATGTGGATACATTTTTCCATATATCCCCCATAGTTAAAATGATTTTTTTTAAAAATCTTCATATTTTGATTTTTTAAACATAATATAAAGTACCATTTCTGTAGAAGTAAATGACTTAAACACAATCACTTACACTCATTACAATCTCATATACATAGAGAACAAACTCAATTTTTTTCATGGGTTTAAATTGTTACATTTTAAAAATTTATTGAAATGAAAATGGTGTTTTGTCACATTTTGAAATGTTTTTAAAAGGAGGTAAAAATACACAATTTAATGAATTTTCAAAAAAATCATAAAAAAATAAGTAATTAACTTAGACACATACAAATTAAATCAAAGTGTTGCTCAACTTAAGAAGTTTAAGGACAAAGAACATCCTGCACATCAGATCGCACAAAAGGACGTATGTTTTTGTGCAAATATTCTTGACGCTCTGCCGAGAGACCTGTTGGAAGACCATTTAGTAGTTGCCGAACAGCAAGCACATTAGGAGTTATGGCAAACTGTTGTTCAGGTTCTGTTTATAGAAGACAATGCCAGGTGACTGTGCTCTATAACAAAAGTGCTGATTGCTTTTAATACCCTTGAGAGGTCGAAAGTGGCCATTAAAAAATTGCTGCCAATCATAAACTGGCACAAGAATCTCCCCAGACTCTGTCCCCACTAACTGTGCACGATTGATCCCTTTCAGGGTACTGGTGTTGACCGTGCGCACAAGATCCCGAAGACAGTGAACCTCTGATATCCTAAATCTGCGTTTCAGCAGACCAAAACACCAATCCGGAGCAAATTTAGTGTGACCGGCAGGCATGAAATTCACAGATACTTGGTCATGGAGACCTTTAATAGTTCTCCAAGCTAAATAAAAAAGGACAAATCTATTTTTGTTCTGACCACTACAATTATCGCAGTGAAGTTCTATCCTTTTTTCTCCGAAACCAAAGTTTTCGAGAACATGGTGCAACAAAGAGATGACCATGTTTGACCCCTTGCCGCTTGTCATGCCTTCGTCAATAAGGTAGTTCATTTGTTGGGGTATGGCTTCTGCGCAAATGCCAAAAATGCCTACTTTTCTTGGCACTAAAAAATAGATGGGACCAGGTTGCAAAGGGGTGCTGGGTAAATGTACTTGCTGTGCGTAGTCAAAACTGAAGTGTATTGTGGCGTCCAATGAGTTGGGAAAATTACGGCCAAGTTCTGTAATGCCAGCCAAAGCTGCAGCTGTTTTAGACTTTTGAACCATGTCATTGTAGAGCCTCCTCTCTTCCTCTACAGTCTGCAGGTGTGCCATCTGGTTGCCAAAAACTACCATTCTTTCTTCTTCATCCATATTCACTGAGCGTCCAATTCTTTCATTGTTTTGCTTGCACTGCCAACATAGATAGCTTTCCAACTACAATGAAAGGTACATACTGCCTCCAAAGAAGAAAAAAGGAGGACTTTCCAACAGCTTGCTGACCTGAAATAAATAGTGTAATATAACTTTATGATTTACTATTTTACTGTAAAAATTCATAAAGCAAAAAAAAAATTAAAAAGAATATTTAGAAGAGAAAAAATAAATATATGATTTGATTTATTTTGCAAATTAAAAAAAAAAATCTTGTGGTTATCTATTCAAAATTTCTACAAGATTTAATATTTGAAATCACTCTAAATTATACTTAGTGTCAAAGTGATTGTTAATATTGATTTATTACCTCTTGCAACAACCAAATTTCTATAATGTCGCCTTTAGTTTGTGAAGAAGGCAGGATCTTGACATCACTTCTTTTGAAGCCAGGAATGTGACCGGGAGAACCAGGGCATGGTCCTCTGCAAAGTTCCGCAGGAAGGTAACAACCCGCTCAACATCGTCAGGTTTTAAAGCATGCTTATTTAACCTTCTACCGCCCCACTTCGTTTCCGGAATAATACCTGTATCCCTCCAGGCCCTGAATCTTTTCTGGACATTGGTCAGCTTGTTTTGGCTAATTCTGAAACATTAAAAATACATTAAAATAACATTAAATTAATAATGATTTTTACTACCTGGTTTCCAAAATTTTTTTAACATTAAATCATATGTGTTTTATGTTTTGAGCATCACAGTTAAAAAAATATCAATCATCCAGATGACTTACCCATATATAAACTTGAATGCCTCCCTGCAAACATTCTTGCCATTGACAGTGTAGGAGGTTCTCTCCAACTTTCTTACTTTTCGTCGACAAGGCTTATCAATTGTCAACTCACTGCTATTTGTAGAGCTACCAGCCAGTATGCCTATAAATATCATGTCCTTGTCAGCTGAAGAGATAGAATAGAAACTTTCAATAATCTTTAAATAGAATAGTTTACATCTGTACATTCTATGACATAATATCTAGCCAACTGCACATAAGCCTAATGTCTAGCTCTAAGTAATTCATTTAGTATTAGTAACGGTTTTAATAGTATGAGCGTAGTGGTTTAGGCCTAGTAAATTAATTAATGGGCCTAAATTAGCCTATTTGTTTACTGTTTAATATCTAGTTCTAGTTATAAGTGTTAGCCCTAAAAAATATGAATAACACTTAAAGGCTGAATAATATATTTACCTTCTGTTAATTCCTGCATGTCCAGCCTTCGCCCTAAAATCTCATTAGCTGTGAATTGTCCAATGCACCCTTTTTTTATTGAGGTCGAGACAGAGCTATGTGATGAATTTATCGAGCACCGTCAATCAAAAGATGCCACCTTATTCTTTTCTTCGCCTGGCTGCATAACGCCACTATAGCTTTGATTGTTTATAGAAACATCTTCGATCAAAGGTGGGTCATTTTCTTCTTCATCACTACTACATCCAAGTTGATCAAGTGTACACAGCAGAGCAGATGCATTTTCTTCGTCATCACTCGCTTCAGACTCACCACTAGAGCTAGATCCGTCAGTGTCATCCAATGCTGGTGTTGTAAAATACTCTTGTATAATATTTTCAACACTTTCCAAATCTTTTTCATCATTAATATTTGCATTTCTTGCCGAAATAAGTGCTTTAGCGATAGTAATTTCTTTCGTACTGGAGGCAGCCATGTTGAAAAGTTAAGCATAAACATTCGCTGGGGTTGGTTAGAAAAAGTCACGTGCTAGTATCGTTGAAAAAACGGCTTTCCCTTCCTAGTGACAGCATTATTTACATTATTTTCCGAAAAATCCTTTATTAATTTAAGCCTTTTGGTTGGTTGATATTTATAAAGCCTACGTGTACGTTAGACTTAATAATAAAAGGGAGAATACTCTTTCCAATGATGCCAAACATGGTGAGTTAGCTCGAAAGGATAATGAAGAAAATAGCGTTCAAAAAAATATAAATATGCTCAATTTTACGCAGATTTTACATGAAAATCTTACAGTTACAGGGTATTATTTTTAAAGTAATTTTTAAATAAGTTATAGATTTATTTTAAAAAAAAATAATATTATAGATGTGTGCAGAAATGAATAAATAATTACAAATAATCGAAATCCTAAAATCGACCCTTTTCGACCCAAACACATATTTTTGACTCTAGCTCAAAATAGGCCGAGGTGAGAAGCGACTCATTTTGTCGTGAAGGATTTGTAAAGTCAACGTCTTTGCCGTCATGTTTAAAAAAAAAAAAAAATAATTTTGTAGAGAAAGAGACACGGAAGATTGAATTCATATAAAGGCCCGCCCCCCCCCCCCTTTTTCCCACACACACAAATCCATCCCAAATAAGAGAGGGGGAGATAGAGAGGGTATAGTGATAGATGGAGAGGGTAGAGAAAGGGGAATAGTTGGGGGGAGAGGAAGAGGGGGAGATAGAAAAAGAGAGAAAAATAGTCTCAAATGATACTTGAAGGAAGGGGTAAGATGAAACGTAATTGATGGAGGGTGATTTAAAGTGAGAACTCTCATATTTGTCTCTTTCTCGAACAAATCTAGGCTGTGCAATATTTTACAATCATAGAAATGCACGTGTCATAAAAATGAAAGGGGGGGGGGGAGGCCTTTCAAAGTGTTGTAGGGTAGGAGCCCTCTTGCTGGCACATCTTCTCCTATCCTGTACACTTGATCACCGAGTCATGTTCTTCTATCTGATGGGCACGTAAGACAGCCGGGATCGTCTGCCTTGTGCGAACACCACCACGCTTCCGACGGCAATGAGGAAGAGACTGGCCACGCTGAGGTAGAATGAGTAGCCAAGGTAAGGGTCATGGAAGTCCTGCTTGGCCTTGCCGCCCCAGACACACACGCAGATGATGATGAAAACAATTGCAAGAGACAGAGTTCAAATTATAAAACTATGACTGTAAGAGAAATGACAGAATGTAACTGTAAGAGAGATAACTGAAATATGAAAGGAAATGTAAAGAGATATGATTGAAAGATTACTGTAGCTGTAAGAGAGTTGAAAGTAACTGTAAGAGAGATGAAAGTAACTTAAGCGAGGTGAAAGTAACTGTAAGAGAGATAGGCTGGAGATGAAAAGATTAAAGTTAATCATAAGTTTAATATTAGAAGAAGTTTTTTTTTAAAAACTTATTATGTTACCTCTTACAGAGTGGGCTTCATTAATAAGTCTCCCCCCCCCCTCCCACAACAAAGCGTTTGCTGTAATGTGTCTGTTGTGTGAATTCAAAACAAGTCTCTTACTTTTATGTCTTACTATCTTCCGGTTACTTTTGCGTGGCAAAGTATATTTGATGTCACAAAGCTTCCACTTAGTATTACGAGAAAATCTTACCACCTAGGGCTTATGCCGCCAAGGGTGGATAAATAGTTTAGTCCCCCCCCCTCACTTTCCATATTTAAAAAAGTGACACCCTGGGTGAACTAGCCGCTCAGCTCCCTTTTCCTTGTCCACTGCATTTTACTCTGTGGGTAACTTAACCCCAGCTAATCCTAAGGCAAAGGCGGCGCCAGTGATTACTTTCTCAGGGGATCTGCACATCTTGGGAAAAACTACGAAAAAGACAAAGGCGGTTCCGCTAGAACACCCAATCTGGCGAAAGCCTCACAGACCTTCAAGATGTCTGAAGAAAAAAACAAACAAAAAACCAAACAAGTTTGGATTTTCAGTTTGTGGTTTGTAAGTTTGTAACTGTAACTGTATTTAATTCTAAGAAAAAATTATTCCAGGAAAGGTCACGCTGGTTCTCGGAAAAAAGCTGGTTATCTGAAACGCTGGTTATCTGAAATGCTGGTTATCTGAAACGCTGGTTATCTAAAACACTGGTTATCTGAAACGCTGGTTATCTGAAACGCTGGTTATCTGAAACACTGGTTATTTGTAACGCTGGTTATCTGAAAAACTGGTTATCTGAAACGCTGGTTATTTGTAACGCTGGTTATCTGAAACGCTGGTTATCTGAAACGCTGGTTATCTGAAACACTGGTTATCTGAAACGCTGGTTATCAGAAACGCTGGTTATCTGAAACACTGGTTATCTGAAACACTGGTTATCTGTCAATGTAACACATTAATGATAAAGAACTTGGCAGCTAAAGGAAAGAATTTAAAACTGAAAAAACTTAAAGTAGGTGTTTAATTTACATAATAAATGTACAACAAATTACCATAATACACTGTGCAACAACTTACCACAATGCTCTGAACAACAAATTACCATAATACACTGTACAACAAATTATCATAATACACTGTACAATAAATTACCGTACGCTTTTAATGTAAGAGTATATTCCGTGCAAAAAAAGTATTGAACGGAAACTTTACAGCCAGTGGTAACTGATCAGAAACAATAGGTTATCATAACCAACCCTGGTACGATTTAGTTCGGATAAAAGGATACGTAATTTATACAACACATCTCTTATCATTAAATCCGAACGAAACAAAAATAATTCTAGACGATGACTTCTTACCTCCTTTCATTGCGTCGAGTATGTCGCCACACTCGTCTTGGACGCATAGCCTCCTCAGTCCCAGACTTATTTTTATAAAGGGTGGGTAGTGATCTGTTGAAGACAACCATTCAGGGGTGGCCACACCGGCAATGTTCATGATGACGCCGATGGCGGCCAGTCCCACCGGGTAGCTGGACGTTATGCCTCCAGGAAGCAGCCTTTGATGAAAGATGGAGAGAAAAATATGTGTGTGATATCGAACGAGTCCAGAGGGTTGTCTTCCTAACACTGTCTTACCGTTCTCGTGTTTAAGAACGCTTTCAAAGGGGTAAAATAACTGCACTGCAGTTTCGTAAAATGCAGTCATGTTCCAAGGATGCATCACTAGCGTTAGTTCCAGACATACGACGGGGGATTTCATTATTTTACGGGGAGTCGAGGATCATCTCTTTCAAAGCCCCCCCTCCCCCCCGCCCAACCCGTTACCTCCACATTTCGCACGCATGAAGAGGATATTGACAGAACCGGCTTCA